TCTTTGCTTGAAAAAAGTAAAATTGAGACACTAAGTATATTTTAAGTTAAGAAAAAAAATCCATAAGCAGGGAAATTTTTGCATTACCTTTAGTAATAGCTATTAATAACTTGAAACACCTTTAAATTAATAATCTAGTATTTTCACTAATAAATAAAAATTTCCCATCTTGGGAAATTTTCTTACATGCACTTTTTGGTTTATTTCCGATTGAAAAATTAAAATTGAAACACATGAGTTATATTTTAAGTTAAGAAAAATATGTATCTCTAAAAAGGAAAACAGCATAAAAATCTTTGTTGAATACTCGTCGCTTTTAGATGATTTTCTGTCGAAAAACTGGCTCCGTGTTACTTCGTCAAGCACAATTTTAGCTCACTTATCTTTGAGGCTTCTTATTGAACCCGACAAATAATATAAAAACAGCTCTATTGATTTGGCATTTTGCCTTTACATAAATAATACTTCGTTTTTACTTTCATACAAATCCCTTAGTCATTTAAAAACATACACTCCCACCCACCCATAGCAAAACCGCATCAGTGCTTCGGTTTTGTGGCGCAACCATAAAAGTGTTCCAACGAAAAATACCCGCTAAACTATCAATTTTAAATACGCAGAAATTTAAGTAATTTAATACGGTTTATGAAAAATCATCCCCAGCTGCAAATATCTACAGAAGACGCACATTCACACTCTCTCCTTAATGTACGCACATACCAACATAGTAGTGAGTAAGAAAACTTTATCCTCCCTAGAAGTATAACAATCAGTTGTTTGTCTTCGTCAGCGAGGCGTCTGTTGTGCTTGCACATACATACATACATACACATGTACATACATATGAGGGTTGAGCACATGTCTCTATGACAACTCCATAGTATTACGCGCTTAGCCCAAACCTCCAAAGACACAATACTATAAACTATGGCTAAACTGTGGTTATTCGACAATTGCTAGTTGGGTGGTTTACATATGCGCCTGATTTTATATCACACCATATCTTATACTGACGTATATATATACATACATACATATGTAAATATTTATTTGGTGATTTCCTCTTTTAAATCTGAACACCCGCATGTATTAAATTTAACTGTAAATTTGTATTTTCGCTTGTGTTGAATATATATTTTTTCTTTCATTTCTCTTGCAGAGGGTATCGTATCATATAGCATACCGAAAGGCGTGCAACGAGGCATGGAAGTGGATTTGTCAGACAAGACTTATGATGGTTATGAGCAAGGTGATCGTTATGTTGATGGATTGGGTCAGCTGGTGGATGGTCAAAAGGGCAAGGATAATTTTCGTACTGACATACATGGATATGGCAAAGGTGAGTAGGTAAATTGGGATTAGAAAATGGTAGTAAGTTTTGTTTGATATGAAGTTTCAAAAACGGTAATAATTCTATAGGGCGGGGAGCAGTAGAATGAAATGAAGTAATACGATGAAATTAGGTATAGTTCAGAAGGCAGCGCTCGTAGTGGTAGCAATATAGCTTGCCCATGGTATGCACTTAAGGTCAAAACTCATATATACCGTTGTCTGCTCTAAGGTCGCAAGCCATGGGTATAAACATATGTATAGTGCAAAATTTTAAACGCATAGTTGGCTTTCTCTCTTTTACCCAGAGCTTTCAGATCAGAATAGACTGCATACTAGCAAAATCCGAAATCTGCTGGCCATCTAAGTTTATTCCTCTATCAAAATCCAATTCAAATTGAAGGCACGAGATCGGAGCAGAATTTTTATCGGACTGTCTGGGAGTAGGAAGATCCTTACATATGCAATATTTAAAGAGTGTTTTCTAGAACAGGGGTGCTCAACAAATTTAATTGCAAAAAATATTTCAAACCCGAAACTAACAAATCAATGATACAAGTATAGAGCTGAGCCAATGCGAGCTAACGCAAGGCAGCAGTGAATGAATGCCGATCGATTTTTATCCGTGAATATTTTGCGTATTGTACTTCCACGAATTCCGAATTCTTCAATATTTCGATTTTGATGGTAACATAAGTATACATATTAGAATTACCCTTTTTAGGTAATTTTTATTTTAGTAGTTTTCTTGTGTTTTGTTCATTCGTTTGTTAATTTTTTAATAAAGATTTGAAAATTCAGCTTTCCTTTTACAATAAATCGTTATTTTTTTGGAAATATTGTTTAATGGGAAATTTTTTTGTTCTCGCTTTCGGATGTTTTTTGTTTAAAACGTTAGTATTTGCTATGAACCACTACACTATAGTTAGTGTAAGTCACTTTAAAAATTTCCTCCTTTTGGGAAATTTTTAGTTTTTAATAACCTTTTGTTGCCATATAAATATATGTACTGTTTCCCTAAAATTTAACCTGATTAAAGTAAAAGCNGTTATTTTTTTGGAAATATTGTTTAATGGGAAATTTTTTTGTTCTCGCTTGCGGATGTTTTTTGTTTAAAACGTTAGTATTTGCTATGAACCACTACACTATAGTTAGTGTAAGTCACTTTAAAAATTTGCTCCTTTTGGGAAATTTTTAGTTTTTAATAACCTTTTGTTGCCATATAAATATATGCACTGTTTCCCTAAAATTTAACCTGATTGAAGTAAAAGTACGCCAAATGTAAATAAATTGCTTTGGAACTTGCTAGCTACAAACTTAGCAAGCATTAAAGCATATTCGTACACACAAACATGCCCAGTATTAAGAATTTACTTAAGAACTTGCTTTTTACCTTGAATTGAACGCAATCTCACTTTCTTGGTAGTTCCATCTATGTAGAAAACTTTTCTGCATCCCGACAACCTTCACTCAAAATTCAAATTAACTTAATTCAAGTGCATAAAAGCTGAAATACTTGGCTAGAGTATAAATGAAATTGAACAAAGTTTGATGAAAACTGCTTACCTTAACCCAAATGTAATGAAAGCAACACCAGCAAACCAAATCGCACAAATGCCAAATAAGCAACTACTAGACGAGTATTATAAATGGTGGCAATAAGAAGAAAAAAAAACTGCTGATGCACAGTATTTCTTAAAAGATTTATATGTATGTACATATGTATATATGTAGTTATAAATTCTGCCAACACAACGCGCACATTTCACTTTTGCGTACACAGTTTGTGAATTGCTTTGTGTATATGTATGTATGCGNAGTATTATAAATGGTGGCAATAAGAAGAAAAAAAAACTGCTGATGCACAGTATTTCTTAAAAGATTTATATGTATGTACATATGTATATATGTATAAATTCTGCCAACACAACGCGCACATTTCACTTTTGCGTACACAGTTTGTGAATTTCTTTGTGTATATGTATGTATGCATGTTTGTATGTTTGAGTGTTTGCCATATAAGAAACTCTGAAGGTTGCAGAAAATTAAAAGGATATTTCGTTTAGCCAAAAGCAGTTGAATGCAAATCAATGGTGGCAGACGGTAGACGGAAGAAGGACCTAAAGCTCGTATATACACAATCATAAAATAATCTTATATTTACACGTACACATACATATATACATACATACACATTTATGTACTTCATTAAAACTGATTAGTATCAAATAATTACAAAAGTTTACCATAAGTTTAATGGAACTTTTTCGTGTCCATTTGCAATTCTTCGCTTCCTTTGTCAAATTTGTATTTACGAGTATGTATGGCTGTGTGTATACCGAGGGGCTACAAAAATAAAATTACATACATACAGCCTCATACTAGGCACTTTATAATAGAGAAATGCCGGAAATGATGTATAGCTGTGGCAGTTAACCCGCCACTGACTGCCATTTGTTTTGTTTATAATATTTAGAAGGCATTAAATCGAAACGTATGGGCCACTAGAAAAGTGAACTCAGTTAAGTGAAGCAGCTACGATAAACTTTGTTTGGAAAATTTGTGTCCTTTGCTAATTCATAGCGTGTGGCGTGAGACGAGTCGAGAGCGCTAGAGAGTGAAAGGGGTGGATACCAAATTAAAAACTTTCGCCAAACAAATAAATAATTTCCTCATCAATGAACAAAATAAATAAAAATATATATATTTTTTTCAGCAGCTGTAAGCATAATAAATGCGAGCCAAGGGAAATTTGAAAGCTAGTGAAACTTATGCAAGTATTTGTTTTGCTAGAAGTTTACAGCAATGAAGAAGCAGTAAAAAATTAATANCAAATTAAAAACTTTCGCCAAACAAATAAATAATTTCCTCATCAATGAACGAAATAAATAAAAATATATATATTTTTTTCAGCAGCTGTAAGCATAATAAATACGAGCCAAGGGAAATTTGAAAGCTAGTGAAACTTATGCAAGTATTTGTTGCTAGAAGTTTACAGCAATGAAGAAGCAGTAAAAAATTAATGCGACATGGCAATTGTAAATATGTACATATGTACGATGCATATTTGATAATTTATGGCAACACTGGCATTCAATTGCAGTCAAACAACAACAAAAAGCAAACAGCAAGCCATAACCTTACAAAAACACCAATAAAACGTTAAATAAACTACCATGTCACACACACACACACACACTCTCTCTCTCTCACANAAAACACCAATAAAACGTTAAATAAACTACCATGTCACACACACACACACTCACTCTATCTATCTCACTCCCACCAACTGCACACCCCATCACTCCAATGGCTTGCTGCGCGCCAAAAGTTTGACTCTTCCGCCAATGCGTGTATCCGGTCTCCCCACACCATGTTTTTTGCAACACCATTCCGGCAGTCGGTGCGTTGTTTGGCTTCCGTTTGCCTTCAGACAACAAACAAATGCGCACAAACGGAGAGTCAGCCGTCGCCAAAGCCGCATAAAAAGCTGAAATTCTTGGTCGTTTAAAACTTCAACTATTTCGAAATACCTACTGTTCAATTCTACAAGCATACATATACGCGTACATAGTACATTTGCAAATACAGACATACAAATGAATAAAATTCGTTGGCCAGTCGCCAATAATCGAAATTATTGAAAACTTTACATTTTAAGTAGAAAAGTTTCTCATTACTGTAGTAGCTAAAGGAGGTGGGCGGTCATTTTGCACTATACGCTGTAACTTATACATACATACATAAGTATGTACATATGTATTAAAATAAACACATAGCAAACACATTCATAGCCATCGTCGTTCTGGTCGTTGGCTCCAACAACTTCATTCCTTATTGCCAATAATAATGGCGGAATGTGCGACAGTGGCTGTTAGTTTACCGTGCAGACTTACGCGCAAGCAGACAGACAGGCAATAATACTACTTTGCTTACAGCTGTGTGTACAAATTGTGACGACGGCTGTCGGACTACACACGCATACATACTTAGTATCTACAGACAGTCGAGCAAACTCATAAACTGCGCTCATTTGATTGCTGCGCCGATTTCGCAGGCTGGCATCGGTTAGGAGAACGGAACGCAGCTTTGTAGAGAAAATAATCGTAGGAGTGGTGAAGTCAGTTGTCTGCTTAAATAAACTTCACTGATTTCTTGCATAACTTTAATGCAAATAGATATGTTTACAGTAATAATAGGGATCGGTGAGATACTAGGAATTTTTGAAAATAGCATTTAAGAAGAAAAAGAATTTGAAGTGAATTTCCTTTTGAAAAATAGACAAATTTTCATAAAAGGTACTGATACGTCTAATTCAAAACGAAATTTATATACGGGCCGATTTCATAATAAAATTAAAGAATATTTTAAAATTTAAAGTATGCTTTATTTTGCTGATCGATTTCATAAAGCTACTTTGAATATAAAGGTGCCCTTTGGTTAAATACCTAAAATGATAATTTAAGTGACAAAGGTCCCGTTTGTAAGAAAAAAAATTGGTATGTCATTTTCGTAGTTATAATTACATATTTATGACAATGATACGATACAATTTTGCCAAGATCAGCGTTGCCAACTATATTTCCATTTAAATGAACCTTTTGTTATTATTCAATTGAAAACACTTCTTGTTTAAAGTACATCTAAATGACACTTTAACTAAAAGGACACTTTTGCAAAAGGAACTTTAAGTGTTTCATTATGAAATCAGCCCTAAGTTAAAAAATTTCCCGTTTAGGAAATTTTTAATTCGCATTCATAAACAAGATTAAATTTTAAGGTATTAAAATATGTTTTGTTTTGTTGTATTTTTAGACTTTAGAAAAAAATTCCCTTTTAGGAAATTGGTGAAAACTAGAAAAAATTATGAAGAAACTAAAAGGAAA